ACAATATCAGTTCTCCAGCAAAAAGTCTTGTTTCGGAACAGAACATGTTGAACTTCCGTTACGGCTGTTTTCTTTAGGGTATTAGGGGGTGTTGCTGTCCTTTTGGGTTAACGGGTGTTCGTCATATTTTACTTCCAGGCTGTTTGGGTTTCTTGTGCTGGTAGGAGCCGTGCTGAGACTTAGGGGGTCAGTGCTTCGAGGAGACTGCGGTTGTGATGCTGGAGAGGTTAGTGCCGGTCCGTTTGCTCTTCAAAGGCACAGCTGGCATGGAGACCTGCTCAGCTGGCACCTGCAGCCCTCTTCTTAACGGGGATTTCACTTGCTTTTGTAGGCAAGTGAAAAATGATAGAAAGTAATCTCGCACTCCAGGAGTTTGTCAGAGATGAAAGGATGTAGGTCGCTTCCTGCCAGACTGCTAGGGCAGAAGGGATTTGCTTTCCTGCCTGCAGGAGAGCAGAGATGGAGAGATCCTGCCCTGAAGACCAGCCTTCAGTGCACAGCTCGGGCTTTCCCGAGACCGACAAGGCTGCGGTCGTGTGGCTTTAGGCGCTGAGTGAAGGATGCTGTGAAGACACAGGATAAAAGTTCAGGGTGAGGCTGTGACTGACCTCGGTAGGAAAGCTTTAGTGATGGCAGGAGTCAGGATTCTGACTTTCTGTGTGCCACAGCACTGGCTCGGTTCCACCTCCTGTTGCTGCAGCCTCTGGGTCACCCTCGTCTCTAAGCTGGATGCTCCGAGCCATGGCCGGGTCGGCGTTGCCTCACAGTCTGCTCCATCTCCAGCCTCCCAAACCACTCCCGCTTACGGTCTTGGGGGTTTTTGTAGTACAGAGCAAAAGGGAAAATAACATTTATCCTCAAAATATCTTTGTCGCTCTGCTTCAGAGCCTTTGCTTGGCGGTCTCGTCTGTCCCTCCTGTGACCGCTTCCTTCTTTGGGTCTGGTCACCTTCTTCTGGGAATTCTGCGTTTAATGGCTCAGATCTTTTTCCAGGTTTTCCTTTCCAGGCCCTTTTGCTTGGATGTAGTCAAACCTGGAAAAGCCTGGTGACTTGGTCAGCTCCTTCGGTACCGAGACCTGCGGTGTGTAACACCTGCTTGTTGTGATGAACTCTCTACCGCCCCGTAGCAGGGAGCGTGCTGGTGAGCAGTGAGCAGTGAGCAGCTCCAGGGACCGGCCAGCGGCAGCATTCAGAAGCTGTCGCTTCGTGCGATGTGCCTGGGGTGGTGAGGTCTGGGTTAGGTGTGGGCAAAATGGTCCGGAGACAGCTTCAGAATTGACGAGGCTGTTGGATAGGACGGAATCGGTGCTTTTTTTTTTTTTTTTTTTTTTTTTGCTGAATAGCCTTTGTGCAAATGAAATAGCTTTTGAGGAGAAGGGATGACTGTGAGATGACACTGGAGGGGGAACTGGTGCTCATCTTGCTTCCTCTGCCTGATTTACACCATAGGGATGAAAACATTCCCCTTCTCTCCCCTTGGGTCTAGTTTGATGTTGAGCTGCTCTGCTTGCCCACACATGAGCACCCAGCACCGTACAAATCCAGCCTCAGCTGAGGCTCCTGCCTGTGACTGTGTGAAATAAATGAGAGATTAATTTGGTTAGACCAGATACGGTGTTCCCTGAAGGGATCTCGGGGATGTTTTGGAGACCCAGCTACAGAAACGAGGCCGTTGCTGCCGCACTGGCTCTCCTATGTCCTGTTTTGAGACTCCGCACACCCCAGCTCCTCCTCCTCAACTCTTCTCTCCCTGGATTTTGCAGGACGCCTACTCCGAGATCGCCTACCTTTTCGCTGAGTTTTTCCGAGACCTTGACATCGTCCCGTCTGACATCATCGCGGGCTTGGTTCTCCTGCGGCAGCGGCAGCGGGCCAAGCGCAACGCCGTGCTGGATGAGGTGGGTGGAGGGAGCTGGGGGCATCTCGCTTGGCCTCCGACTTACCTGCTGCTCCTGTGACTCATTGTGTGAGCACCGCGTGACTCTGCCCACCGCCTTTCTGGTGTGTGATGGGCTATCACCAGTCGCTGAGCTGGAAAATAAAAATACTAACTTCTTTAGCAGCTTTTTTCTGAGACTCCCAAAGGGCCCAACTGAGCCAAGCTTGTGAAACCTGTCGTCTTTTCGAGGCAGGTGATAGGTACGGATTTAGCTCTTGACCCCAGATGGGTCTGGAAGGAGGTGGTAGGTACTTGAAAGCGAAGGGGAAGATGATTCCTCCTGTACAGTGATGTGGAAAAGACTCCAGCATCTAGGTAAAGCTGCAGGAGGAACTTCAGGGAAAAAATCCTAAATCCCCAAGCCATTACTGGTATTGAGATTTACATCTTGTCAACCCAGCAGAAATTTTTTTGAGGGTTTTTTTTTTTTTTTCCCCAGAGGTGAGGTTCAGACAGCAGTGATGAGATCAGGCAGAAATAAGACCAGCAGAGCTGGAATCAAAGAGCCTGGTTGGGATAATTGAAAGTCTCTTGTCCCAGGTTACGCAGTGTTTTCTGTTTCTCAGGTGTAGATTTTTGTCTTGGTGTCACACAGAAGAATTTTTCTGTATGTTTGTGACTTACAGGCAAACAATGACATTTTAGCTTTTCTGTCTGGGATGCCAGTGACCAGGAACACAAAGTACCTGGATCTGAAGAACGCGGTAAGTCACTGGACCGTGATCTTGCAAACTCAGCATGCCTTCCCTGTGTAGCCTGTTGTCTTTGTCTCAGTGGCTTCTCTTATTCCTTCCTGCACCTCTCTGGAATAATAAAAAAAATGTAAAGATTAATACAATAGAATATAAAAACGATGCTTGCTCTCTGGAGGTTTCTTTTTTTTTGCCTTCAGATCACTTTTAAAGCATTATCTGTCTGTCCCCTGCTTGTGGGAAACAATTCAGCTGAGATGGGGAAGGCGATGTGAGGTTTCTCCGAAGGCAGCGGCAGGAGCTGAGCGCTGCAGCCGGGGTCTCGTGCAGAGCTCCGTACGGAAGCAGCAGCTCGCGGAGCCCAGCAGGCAGGGCTGAGCTGCCTGCAGAGAGCTGCAGCCTTCCCTCCCGGGGCTGACCGTCGGCAGGTCTCAGGGTGGCAGCGGCTGTGCTCTGTTCTGCTCTGTGTGCGTTAAGCTTGGCTTTTCTCCTGGCTTGCTGTGGAGCAAACTATTCGCTCCCCTTGATCAGAAGATATTGTCACAAGAGAGGCAAGAGTGACCCCGTCCCAGTGACTCTGTGATTAACCTGCTCGTGGCTGTGCTGTGCTGCCCGGTGTTTAATCCTGACATCCCGCTCGTGTTCTGAATAGGTGTCAGCAGAGCTTATAGAAGACAGCACTGGCCCCAGGCTGGCTTTCTGGTCCTCTCTGGGCATCTTCCTTACGGCTGTGACTATGGGAAAGCAATATATCCAGAGAAGTCATCTTCTTGGGACTTAAACTAGTTCATCTTCTCCTCAGCTAGGCTAGGATGGGGCAAGACCCGCAGAGGGTGACCTTCCTTTGCACAGGGTGTTTGAAACGCAGGAGGGTTTCTCTACAACTAGCTCCTAGTTTTGTTAAACAGCTAGCGGGGTCCCTCTGCTTGGGAAAACGCTGAGCTGTTCTTGGGAGGGGCAGGATCTTGCTCTGCTGCAGCCACCTGGAAATGCTGACGGTGCTGCTCGGGTGCTGAGGGAGGAGGATGATGCTCAGAAATAAGGGTGCATGTGTCTGTCTGTGATGGAAAAGAGGGAAACAGCAGGGAAAACACACTGTCTAAAAGGGAATGAGGGCCTTTAAGTCTCTGTCTCTTTCAGCAAGAGATGCAGCGGTACAAGGAGGTGTGCTACTACATGCTGTTTGCCCTGGCTGCCTACGGCTGGCCCATATACCTGATGAGGAAGCCCACCTGTGGACTCTGTCGCCTGGCCAGATCCTGCTCGTGAGTGGCCATCCTGTCCAGCACTCTGCCTTCTTCCCTTTTCCCTTCTGTTTCTCCCAGATTTAGAATTTTCCTTTCTTTCATCAGTTTGTTCTCTTCATCACCCCTCTATTTATTCTTCCTCCTTCTTTTCTCCTCTTTTCCCATCTCATGCCTTTTCTTTCCGTCTCTCAGTAACTCTGTGCCTTCATACTCCCGTGGCTTTCCCCTCCCTCTCTTCCTGACAGTTTATTGTGTTCAGTGAACCAGCCTGTGCTGTGCTCTCTCCTCTCTGGTGCGCTGCACATCGTGCCAGTCCTGTGCAGCCTGAACAGCCAGCAGAAAGAGCTCAGCTGGCACGAGCCTGCTCTCACACTGAGTCAAAATAGCTGCCGTGGAGCTCAGACATGGGATCTGTCAGCAGGGCCAGATATGCAGGGAGCTGACATTTGGGGCTTTATTAAAGCGTCGCCAGGACTTGGCCAGAGCTTGTGCTGTGTTCCCTCTGACGAAGTGTTCTTGTGCCGTGCTGCACGGTGCTCACCTCGCGGCAGCAGTGCTGTAGCTCCGTTCAGGATCGCATTATTTTAAATGTTTGCTTTCAGCTGCCGTTATGCTGCCATCAGATTCTCTTTGGGGTTGAGCTTTTTGCACTTACACAGGTGACTTCTGTGCTGAACCTATTAGGAGGAATATATTTTCTTTTGAGTGCTTCTATTTGTGAAGTGTCTCATAAGGGAAAGAAGGAAAAAAAAGATCTGTGCATCCGGTTTTGTTCTGGAATGATTCTAAACCCACTTTTTTTTTTTTAAATAAATAGACCTCGATCGCAGTAAATGCTAGCGGCTTTGTGCGTTAAAGCAATATAGGACTGCGCCGAAGCTTCGTATCCTTTGAGGAGAGATCCCAGCCCCAGCACGCACCGGTTCCTTGGGGACTGGTTGCACTGGAGCTCTCTCTGGTGCTCAGAAGGAAAACTGCATCTGATCCCAGTGCCCCTTTTTGATGCTGAGAGCTCCTACAAGGGTTCCTCTTTTCCTCAAAGCTTTTTTATTTTTTTTTCTTCTGCAGATGCTGCTGTTTCTGTCCTTCCCGTCCCCGCTATGCACCTGGTGTCACCATTGAAGAGGATAACTGCTGTGGCTGCAACGCCATTGCCATCCGGCGCCACTTCTTGGATGAGAACATGACCTCGGTGGACATTGTTTACACATCTTGCCACGATGCAGTAAGGAGAATCTGCAACCCCCTTCATATCTGGGGGCATTTCCTAATGGGGTTTGTGTGCTTCCAGGTGTAGTGGTGCAAAAAAGGAAATTTAAGCCTTTTTCTGACCCTAGAGCTTCCAATCCTCTTTCTCCATCAAGAAACTCTGCCACTGGGACAGAAATATTTGCTACTGCCAAAAATCAGATCATTCAGAGGAGTGCTTACCCCCAAGGTGTAACCTGTCAGCGCCTCTGCCTCCTTTTCCCTGAGAGGGAGAATAAACAGGAGTGTCTCACCTGATCGTTAGTCGTGGATCTTTTCCAGGTCTATGAAACACCTTTCTACGTGGCTGTGGACCATGATAAGAAGAAGGTGGTCATTAGTATCCGAGGAACTCTCTCTCCAAAAGTAAGTGCACTGTGCAGTGGCTCCGCGTGCCCTTGGCCACCCCGGCAAACCTTCAGGAGGGGCTGAGACCCTCCTGACCTGCCCGAGGTGGCTGGCTTCCCTGAGGCTGGTGACTGCGTTTCTTCCAGGACGCCCTGACCGATCTAACCGGGGATGCAGAGCGCCTGCCGGTCGAGGGGCACCACGGAACGTGGCTGGGACACAAGGTGTGTGAAAGAGAAGAAAACAAACCAACCCCACTTTTTCTAATGTTTTGACTTTTTAATTATAGGCAAAAAAAAAAGTGATCTTAATTGCTTGGGATGCTCTTAAGAAGGGTGTTACATAACTGCAGTGAAATGGCCTTGATGTTAAAATAAAATCCGTAGTTGTAACACTTAAAATCACTGTCCGTAATTAAAAAAAACCCCGTACAATTAGTAAAAACTGACCTGTAGAAGGCATTTGTGGAACAGAACAGAATTATTGCAGTCCTTCAAATTACTTTTTCTTCCAATGACCTTCTCAGAATTTGCAATCAATCCCTGAGAAGGTGTTTAAGATTCTGTTGCGATGGGCTAGGCAGCGAACCTCATCAAGGGCTCCGGGCAGGGCTTGTGTCTGTGTAATTAGGCTGATGGGATGTGTCAGTGCTGGCCATCGGGACGGGGCTAAATCAATTTGCTGTGGAGCTGGCCTCTGCCCCAGCCCAGCAAAGAAATGACACACATGCTGAGTTTTAAGATTATCGGGAATTTGGCAGCCTCTCAAGATGCGGCGCCAGATTGGGAAAGAAAAAGACAAACTGGAGGTTGTGCGTGTTGGAAGGGACATAGCAGCTGCTGGAAAGGCTGCTGCTGCTCAGGGAGACAAGATGCTGCACATCATCTGGTCGGGGTCCCTTCGGGGCGGTGCGCTTAGCTCGTAACTCCTTGAGAGCGGTGAGCTGAGAGCTCCTGCTTCGTTTGTGATGTCCTGCCGGAATGCCAAACCTCTCCTCTGTGCTTGGATGCTCTGCTTCAGGGAGTAGTGGCTGATGGATAACTCTGTACTCAAACGTTAGCTGGATGTGGGTCTGACAGAGAAGTGGTTAGCTACGAAAGTGGTGTTTGGATGCTCTGTGGTCTCCAAGTCTCCTGGAGTGTATCTTTTTGAAAACAATCCCAGACTGGTTTGGGTGGGAAGGGACCTTAAAGCCCACCCAGTCCCACCCCCTGCCATGGGCAGGGACCCCTCCCACCAGCCCAGGTTGCCCAAAGCCTCATCCAGCCTGGCCTTGAACCCCTCCAGGGATGGGGCATCCACAGCTTCTCTGGGCACCCTGGGCCACTGCCTCACCCCCTGCACAAGAAAAAATTTTTTTCCTAATATCTCAGCTCAATCTCCCCCTTTTTTCAGCTCAAAACCATCTCCCCAGAGCCTTCTCTTCTCCAGGCTGCCCAGCCCCAACTCTCTCAGCCTGTCCTACGAGGGCCATGCCATACTGTGTACCTGCTGTGGGTATTCCCTTTGTTTCCCTCAAAATGAGAAAATAAATCAGCCTGGCAGTTCCACAGGACGTGTTACGGCAGCGCAGATCGAGGAGGTGGTATATGGTCCCATCAGCTCTGTGAATCTATTTGTTTAACACTTCTGGAGCGTCGGGTCTGCTGTCAGTGATAACGTCACTTGGGTTTGTGCTGGTTCCTTGGGCTCACAGTGACCGTGCAGTCGGTGTGGTCAGCGGCTCGTACAAAGAACGGTGGAAGGAAAGCAGAGGGAAGCAAGGGGAGCTTGTTCCATTTTCATGTGCAGAAAGATCCTTGCAGGCTTTTCTTTTGATCTTTCCATGAAAATATTCCCATGAATGTTACATGAAACATTATCAGCTCATTCCCTTTCTTCTATATTGCGGTTTGCGTTGGCCTTTGTGTTATTTCTTTTTTGATTGCTGCTAGTACAGAGATAGAGCTTTATCTTAAATTATTATCAGTATTAATCTTCAGACAATAATGTACTGTTGATTCCTGGGGGAAACTAATGGAGATAATAGAATTTAAAAATGTCTGTCTTGATGCATTTTTAATGTCCAGAAATCAACTTTAATACAAAAATAAATGAAGTGTCTTGCTACACATTTAATTTGGAGAAAAGCACTTGGCCGTTCGGGACCTTCCTGTCCATTGTCTGATTTCTGGGATTTTTATTTTTTTTCCCTGATTCCGTCGCGCACACCCCGCAGGCTGCCGTGCTCTGTTATCTCCACCTGCGGAGCCCACCCGTCGCTGTGCTTCACGCAGTGCCGATCAGACATCCTACGAATTAAATCTCTTGATGTTTCCATGAGCCTTCTTATCGCTCCACCGTGCCACAGCTGAAAGCGTTGGCTTGGGTTGCTGCGAATGCCGCAGTTACAATATACATATTAAGTCTCTGAGCTATTTTGGGTCAAAAAACATAGCTGTAACTAAGGTTTATGGGTTAGCGTGCCAAAAATAGAAAAAAAAGGGGGTTGTGACAATCTCTAGGAGAAATTAACTGCAAAAAAAAAATCTAGCTTCACTATTTTTGAAATAAAATCCGCTGATTTTATAACCAAGTTAATTTGAAAATAATAAGTTAAGGGCATGGGTCCATACTTAATTCTGTTGAACTTGTATAGAAAAAAACTATTAAAATGGTGATATTCTGGAAGTTTGTTTGCTGGTGTTGAGCCAGCTGGGATGAGCCGCGGTGGCTGCGAGGAGGGACCCTGAAAGCTCAGTGGTGGGAGCAGCTCTCAGCAGCCTGATAGAGCTGTCAGGAAGAGCAACAACGTCCCAGCTCTCGTCTCTCCCAGACAGACCCCCTCTGGGGGTTTTCACACACACAATTCAAATGTCACAGAGCAGTTGTGTGCCTTCAAGCTGCGAAGCAATACAGAATATTTCCGTTTCGCTTTCCCCAGACCTCCAGTCTGCTTGGTTCGTTACACATGAGGTTTGAAAATTAAGCCCAGGTAGTTTTATTCCTTTGAAACTTAGAAAAACATTGTCCTCTTGAATGGAAAGCCTAAAACTTTGCAGTGATAAGTCTCGTTCCATAATATTAAAATCGCTGTCTATATTAGAATATGCTGTAATTATCAAAAATACAGCTATAAGGCTGACTAACAGCCCATTAGTAATATCACCATGGATTTGGGTCAGGCTTTTCAAAAATAGAATCCTAAATTCATGGTAGAAATTCATGTAGATAGTCTGCCGTTCACTTGTCATTAGAGCTGGAGATGGGGGCTCTTCTGAATGGCTGCTGAGAGATCTGAACACAGGCAGGAAATATCCCGGCGTCTGCTGTTGGACAGAGGTGGCAGCGTTGCAGCACCATCCCCTTCACCGGCTCAGCACCATCACCCGTGTTCTGCTCTCTCGTCAGCAGTCGATGGGTTCTCGTGGTATGGTTGATATTGAGGACTTGGAAAATTCCCCATTTCTTTGCTTTTTTTGAGAGGGCCGTGAATTCTTTGATGCCTCTGAGATGAAACAGCTCTCAATAACGTTCCCTTTGGACTTCTGCCGTTTTCAGGTAGGGGTGTAATGGAAAGCAGCAAAGCAGATGATTTCCCCTGGGTGCTGGCCAGCCCAGGCAGTGGGAGTTATTGGAGGGCTGTAATCACCAAATTAGAAGTTGCTGATTTCTGTTTACCCGTGTTCACCCTGGATTACATGGCTGTTTTTCAGCTGAATTCAACTGGAGTAAAGGCATAACCAGGGATTTATGCAAGGGACCAAATCCTGGTAACAGATGAACTGCGTTTGTAATTATTGCACAGAGGGAGAAACACTTCAGATGCAGCCGTTGGGGAGAGGATAAATGTTCAGAACCAGACTATCAGCTTGTTTCCCATCTTCCAGCAGTTCTTAGCTTCTAGTGAATAAAAACCTGTAATAACTTGTGATGAATGTCCTTTGACAGCTGAATCCCCGTAGTAGTTGCTGCCTTCTCCAGTCGTCGATAACTCTTCCTGTACAGCTGCTGCTGCCACCGCTTCCCTCCGGTGCTGGCGTGGTGTTCGTGTTATCTTCCCTGTGAACTTGCTCAGCTAGTTCATGCTTTGATTCACAGATCGAAGTGGAAGAGGACAGTTTTGCAGGCGCTGACATGCAGCAAATCAAAAGTTTTTTTCTCTGTTCTACTGCGGGTCCCGGCGTCTCCTTTACCAGCGACCCAACCTTGTGTTTCCGAAGCGGGGTGGTTGGTGCTGGTGGGTTTATTTCCAGACTTTGCACCTTGGAATAGGGCCGTTGAGTGTTCTCTCCATTTAAGAACGGCCGTTAACTTCTGAGCAGTTGGTGGCTCTGGGGGTCAGTGAGCCAAGACGTGTGCCTAATGAAGCCTGTTCCTGAGTGCGGAGCCAAGTCGGGGTTTTTCCTCAGCCCCGCCGCGAGCCGTGCAGCACTCCGGGGCTCGCTCAGCGTCCGGGCAGGATGGTGGCAGCTACGTGTTTGGATCAGGGCTGATACGCAGCCGTTTACATCCCGTCCTTTGTGTTTCCTTCAGGGAATGGTGCTATCTGCCGAGTACATCAAGAAGAAATTGGAGCAAGAAATGGTGCTTTCCCAAGCTTTTGGACGAGACTTAGTGAGTATTGGTTTTCTTTTATCCTTGCAGGCTGTACAGGAGACGAGATTTCCCCAAACCGCTGGTTTCAGGGAAGCTTCCATGTCCCTGAATCTGTTGTACTAATTTCCCAAATCTTCCTTCAATTCCTGTCCCTCTGGATTGCCAGACAGACAACTGGTTACTCATTCCCCCAAGGCTTTTTTTATTTTGAAACCACCAATACTGCAGAGTTCCTGATTTTTGGTTTTTTTCTCAGGCAGAGCTAAGGCACAAAGTCCCATTTGGTGGCAATGGAGGACAGGGAACATTAAAAACAAATCACCAGGAACTAAAATCCCATCTCTATGGAGATTCTCTTTGGAGAGAGCAGTAGGATGCCGTGCTGACTGCTGTGTGCGCACATTTCTGGTGATGGAGAGCTATTGGAGAGCCCAAGGGAGGTGTTAGGGAGCAGCTTACCTTAGTGTGTGTACCGGTAACAGCCCAGCCTGTGTCCCCGCTGGGGAGGGAGCTTCTGAGCCGCCGCCTCCCCTGCTGCCAGCCCGCTGGCCTCTTCTCGTGCCCAAAGAGTGCCTGGACCTGAGCAGCGCCCGTGGGGAAATGAGCAATAGCTCCTGGGAGACAGAAAAGAGGGATAAAAGCCTCGATGGTTCCCTGAAACACGAGTGGCGCGCCGGTCAGTGCTGAGTGTCTGCCTTGTGATGGTTGGGAGAGACAGGGAGACGTATGCAGGCGTCTGACTTCTTCACTGGGTGTGGTATTCCTCACTGCCCAGAAAGTGAAAATTGCTCTGAAGTGAGCTGTTGCTCATGAGGATTTTTTCCTGTTGTGCTGTTTTATTCCTCAGTTGCTGCCTGACTGGTAAGGATAGGGCAGCGTTCGGAGCGCTAGGCTTTGGTTGTCTCCTGTGCGTGATAACAAACATCGTATTCTGTTCTGTTCAAAGCTGCCTTCGTGTGTGGTGGGTCCACCTTCTAACTGATGAAAAATAGTGTAACTAGCTGGACCCGACCCACAGGGACAGAGAAATAGTTTTGTCTCTGGATTACTTGAACAGTTGCCAGCTGTTGAGAGCATCTAGACTTAGAAAACTACTGTTCAAGCTGCTAGTTAAAACTTCTGGGTTTTGGCTTGCACGAGTGGTGGAATTAATGGAAGGAGTAGTTTTGAGAACCAAGGAGACCTCAGATGTGTGAGCCTGGACTCGGGTATGATCAAATTTGAGGAGGAGCAAAAGGCTCGTAAGAAATCCAAATAACTCAAAACAGCTTGAGTGTACATTTCCTCTTTCCTCCTGCCTTTTTGCTTTTAGGGAAGACCCAGCAGGTCAAACACTGATGGAAATGTAGGAAAGAACAGCAGAAGGGGATGAATTCCAGCCATGCAGCAGGGCAGGAGGGCTCTGGGACTGCCACTGTGGCTCAGACTGAACAGTGTAAATCAGAACTCTGGTTCTGTTTCAAAATCGAACATAGCCTCGCTGGTTCCCGTGGGTGGAAGAGCCGGTTAGCTGGAATCGGGAGGGCTCATGTAGGGCAGAGACTCCCAGCTGGGGAAAGGGACAGTTTTGGGGGTGGTGGACTTACCTCTCACTCTGACCTCAATTTCTTGTCTTGTTTTTTGTTTTCAGGGGAGAGGAACGAAACACTACGGCCTGATTGTGGTTGGTCATTCCCTCGGGGCTGGCACCGCTGCCATCCTCTCCTTCCTCCTGCGCCCGCAGTACCCCTCGCTGAAGTGCTTTGCCTATTCTCCCCCAGGTGGGCTGCTGAGGTAGGTGCTGGGGCAGGAGGACCGCTGACAGAGAGGGGGTGTGTGATTGCAGCTGGGTCAGCTCCTGATTGCGATGCTCTGAGGAGCAGGAAAAGCCAAGTCTCTGCCCTGAGAAGCCTGCAGAGAAATGGAGAGGCAGCTGATAGGAGCGGAGGGTTGCTGGCAGCCTTTGCTCTGTGTTGGGAGTTTGGGTTATGATGGTGGGTGGCCACTCTCCAAAATACTCTGGTTTATGACTTGTCGGTGGCTATAGCTGTGATTTCACCCCCACTAGTGGAAGATGCAAGGTGTGGACAGGGTGCAGTTCCCTTGTTCTCTGCACAGTGCCACTGTGTCCTCTCCCCAGCTGCTGTGAGATATACAGCTCTCCCCAGCTGCCAAGATATACAATATGGGAGATATCTGACCAAACAGGGGTGTCTGCATCAGTTGGTCTAGTTGTCTGGACTCCTTTTGCAGCTGACAGCCCAGCACTTCTGGGGTGTGATTGCTGTCGTTCGCCTGCAGCAGGTCAGAGGGACTGTGCTGCTCGGGTGCCGGTTCCTCGCCCTCTGCTCTAGGGGGGAGCTGGGGTAGCTGCCTCCCATCTCTGGAGAGAGGTATAGTGAGTTCCTCCCACTGTAAATTGGAACAGACCTGCTGGCCACCTTATTTACATGGCAGCCAAAGAAAAACATCCTTCTCGATTGCTGTGAAGCGAGAGAATGTCTGTCGAGTTGTGACAGACATCACGGGGGCATTCGAAGGCAGCTGTGGATCATCAGAAGCTTCTTGTGATAATTATTGCTTCGTGTTCCAGGAGCAGCCAAGGGTTTTAAACCATCCTGCTAAGGAATTGGGGTGCTGGCATGCCTTACGATAGTAATCCCTGGTCTTGTGCAGCTCTAGAGGAGTTTTGTGAGTTTTACAGCTTTCTGCTCAGAGCTTCCACTCCTGGAGCTCAGGCTGAGCTGTGTTGCGCTACCTCAACGGTTGGAGAGTTCAGGAAGGTGCCCCTGCCTGCCACACTTCGGTTGCACTGTGCCCAGGATCACCTCTAAGTGCAGTAACTGGTTCAGAAGCAGGTTTCTGGGAAGGCAGCTGGCAGCAGAACCAGCTCATAGACTGGAAGCCTTCATTCCCTCTCATCTTGGTGCTGCTTGGGTTGCAGCAGAAGGTGGCCATCGCAGTTCTACAGTGTCTCTATAGTGGGATATTTTCTTTCTGCTGTCCTGGCCATTCCCAAACTATTGGAAAATGAGGCATTGAGTTAAAGTACAGCCCTCCACAAGTATATCCAGAGCCATATACAGAGTAGTGTTGCCTGGGGCATGGGAGGTGGATATCAGGCTTTTCGTTATCAAGGTGCGAGTCCCAGAAGGCTCGAGCAGCTTGGGTTGTGGTTTTTATGACCCAGGTTGACTGTTTGGTAACCTCTGACACCAGTGGCAAATGGGGAGTGAAATGCAGTTTGCTGCTAGTGAAACCCTGTTTGCTTCTTCTTGGTCCTGTTTCTGTTCCAGTGAGGATGCCATGGAGTATTCAAAAGAGTTTGTGACTGCAGTCGTGCTTGGCAAAGATCTCGTGCCCAGGCAAGTTGAGAAGTGTCTGGATTTCTGGCTGAGTATCTGCTGTTGTGTGCCAAAGTCACCTGTTCCCTCTCAGAAACACCAAGATCGTATCTGTTCCCTCATTTCCCTGTCCTTGTACGCTGCTTACTTGTCTCCCTTGTCACCTCTATTGCTGTCTCTCTTACCTGGGCACCCACGTTGGTGTTTCACACCCTTCTCATAGGAATAACCCTGTCTCTCACCTGCCTGTGCGAAGGGGAGGGGTGGCTATCCCGCCTCTGTAGTGACACCCCTTGCGGTGTCTGACGTGCCGATGCCATCTCCTGGTTGCCTGTGTTATCTCATCTTCACGCTCTGTCCTGAACTCGATGTGCTGTCACCTCCTTCCGTACTGTTTGTCCCCGAGTACCTGTTCCCTATCATCCCATCTCTGAACCGGCTCCCTCGTTTCTTCTCTCTCGGCATGTCTCACCTCATCTCCCGGTGCACGTTCTGCTGAGCAGGGCGTTGGACCAGGACCCAGACAACCCGCGTTTTCCTTTCACTTCTGCCCTGTTGTGTGACCTCAGGTAAATGGTGACATTTGTGGGTCCAATATAGGGCATGTAGAACTCAGTGGAGGGAGAGGACTCAATGGTATCGTGTGTGCCATTTGCTAACCTGTACGACAAAATCGTCTCCATCCTGTGATCTCTTTGGTGGTGGTTTATGGCTCTGTCACTTTCTCATTCATCTGCTCTGTGTCACACTTCTGGGATGGCATCATCTCCTCCCTCTCTGTACACTGACCTCTCTCGTATCTGTGTGCACCGATCTGGTTCTGTTCCATTTCATACTCATTGTCACGATGGTTTCCTCGTAGCCTGGTTCCTGGGCGACGCCAGAGCCCAGCTCTGAGATGATCGGCGTTCCGGCATGGCTCCGTTCTTGCAGTACCTTTGTAGCGTGGTTTCTCCTTCCTCTGTGCTGTGTGTCCCTGCTGCCCATTGCAAACACCCCTTCCTCTTTTCCAGAATCGGGCTCTCGCAGCTGGAGGGGTTCCGCCGGCAGCTTCTGGATGTTCTTCAAAGAAGTAACAAACCAAAGGTAAGAGGAAAGATGAACCAGGCGCCTGACAGCAATGGTAAACGTTCAGTGTCACCTCGCCAGACCGCAGGCTTCTCCTGTGACCGCTGTTAATTAACCCGTGGAGCGCTGGCGAGAGCTGGGAGGCAGCTGGAGAGGTCAGGGCGCAGGGCTGTATCGTCTGTGTGACGGTTCTGGCTCGTGTGCTGCAGGTTCACCGTGGCAGGTCTAAAATAACTGAGCAGGAAATTTTCTCATCTGAGCCTGTTTTGCAGTCTGTGTTCCAACTGTAGCTTTTCTTGGCCGGTACCAAATGGTATCAGGCTCGGAAGCACAGCAGTTGTCTGCGTCTAGGCGCTGGTGCGTGCTGTCTGGGTGGTGCTGTTCCAGGATAAGCGGTCTGTTAATGTTTGGAGATAGGAAATGTGGGAAGTTGTTCCGCCTCAGGCTTCTTTACTGTTACACTGAGATGGAAAAAACATAAGACATTAAGATTTTTAGGGATAAATAGAATAGAAATGACCTTAGAGAGACAAAACTGAGCTTAACGTTTATTTTTGTGGTTTGGTTTCTGTGGTTTTTGGTGAATTTTTCCTTTTTTAGGATTTCTTTTAGTGCATAAAGAAAAGCCTAAACAGAATTTTTGTCTATATTGTATCATCTTTTGCTTATTTTTGTACATTAAAAATTCAGATTCCATCTACTTTGTTTATTCTGGAAGTTATTCAGTTATCAGTTGATGGACAAGTTGGTGCTTGCTCTGCATCCTTACCTCTACAAAAACCTCCAGCAAAAAAAAAAAGGAAGGATGAGATGTTACCATTTCTAAGATTAAAATTGGGAAAGTAAGAGAACTTTCTGGGCAGCATCCTCTCTATCTCTAGGTCCATTAGTTAAGCACAAGACCTGTTTTTCTCATTTCCAGCATTAGGTATTTGGTTTAAACCCCCCAGTAGTGTCTTATGAGATGACTCTGCTTTTCTTTGATGTTTTTCTCTTCTCAATATCCTTCCCCCTTTCCCTTGTGTTCAACAGTGGCGAATCATCGTGGGTGCTACGAAGTGCATACCCAAGTCAGAGCTTCCTGAAGAGACGGAAGAAAACTCGGTAACGAGTAATCGCCTCTGGACGCATCCCAGCGACCTGACCATCGCCCTGTCTGCGAGCACGCCGCTCTACCCGCCCGGCCGCATCATCCACGTGGTGCACAACCACCCTGCGGAGCAGTGCTGGTGAGTATGCGCTGAGCTGTGGAGCCAGCCCACGGGTGGGGGGAAGAATTTCGTTTGGAAAAGATTCCTCGAGACAGGAACCCATCTATGAAGGAGGTGATTTTATTATTTTTTTTCCACTTATGGTGATTGTGTCTGTGCTGTCAGAACAGAAAGCGAATCATCTCGCTGCTGGCTAGTGCAGAGTTGTGGAGCAACGTAACATGTGTACTTTAATATCTTCTCCCTCTGTTTTTCCTCCTGTTGCTTTTTTTCTGTCTCTGCAACCTGCTGTTTCTTTTCCATGACAAAATATTGGCCTGCTTGTTCATCTCCTGCTCCCTGTCTGGTTCTCAACTCCTCTTCCAGTTGCTGCGAGCAGGAGGATCCCACGTACTTTGCTATCTGGGGTGACAACAAGGCGTTCAACGAAGTGATCATCTCGCCGGCGATGCTGCACGAACACCTCCCGTATGTGGTCATGGAAGGGCTCAACAAGGTAACGCAGAGAATCGGGATTAGGGGCGGGGAGGGATCATCCAGCGCGGTACCGTGGGCTCTGGCCCGGGTCTGGGCAAGAAAGGCTCAGCGTGGTGCTGGGAGGTGAGCTGTAACCACGGGGCATGGCAATTGTTGTGGGTGAGCTGATCAGGCTGCTCGGCGCCGAGCCAGAGCTCTGCGTGCCTGGTGGAGAGCCGGGCAGGTCCCCTGGGTGGGCTCCAGTTTTAGGAATTCTTATTGCAAGAGCAATTAGGTGCCCTAATGAAATGAGCGCCTTGTCCCAGGCTTGCCCAGGAAAGATGGCTGTTTAAATACACAAAACCATTTACTTTGGATGGGAGGAGGAAAGAAGGTTGTGCTCTGGGCCAGTCGTGCCCAGGCTGTTAGCGCAGGATGGAACGAGGTCTGGAAATGCAATGTGGATATCCATCCCAGTGCCCACAGCCCCAGGTTAGGTGGTCTTTCCAAATTTCATGTCACGATAATGTTCCTTCTATCAGAAGCTGCCCGTCACAGCCTGCGGTTCAGGTGAAACCCACGCTGCGACAGAGTCCTCTCCGCGGCGGCTGCAGCCCCCGGGTTAGTCTGAGGGGTGGCTGAGCTGATGGGCGATGGTTGTAGGATGGGGCTTGGCCACTAAGCCGCGGTGGCTGTGGTAGTATGGGGCTCGGCCACTAAGCTGCGGTGGCTGCAGCCCCTGGGTTAGGCTGAGGGGTGGCTGAGCTGATGGGCGATGGTTGTAGGATGGGGCTTGGCCACTAAGCCGCGGCGGCTGCAGCCCCTGGGTTAGTCTGAGGGGTGGCTGAGCTGATGGGCGATGGTTGTAGGATGATTCTTGGCTGCTAAGCCCCAGCTCCTGGCCATGCAGCTCGACCACAGGGATTTAGCCAAGTCTCCTCTGCCTTGCTGGTCTGGAGGCTGCTCCTGCCAGCATCCTGCCAGTCACCTCCCCAGCACTGGGTTCTCACAGGATAGAGTCTGTCAGAATTCCCTCATATAATCCTTATCTCAAGACCCTGCCCTGTGCTTGTGGAAGGCATTGGTAAGCAGCAGAGGCAAATCCAGCCCTTTGAGGGTCCTGAGCCGAGAAGAGCAGAGCCCCTCTCTCCGGTAAAGCACTGCTGTTCCTCTGCTTGCCTTGACCTAGGTCCTGGAGAATTACAACAAGGGGAAAACAGCTTTACTCTCTGCAGCCAAAGTGATGGTGAGTCCTACAGAAGTGGATCTCACCCCAGAGTTGATCTTCCAGAGCCAGCCCCTGCCTAGCGGACCCTCGGTACAGATCGGAACTGGAGCCGTGACGGCGGACAGAAGGAACAGCAGCACCAAGTAAGGATCTCTGATTTATTTGAAGGATTGGTGGCTTTGGGTGTGGGTCCTCTTTCAGGGCACTGTGATCAATGTTGGTGGAAAGGATAGATCCACGGGCTGCCTTTGTGGGACTTTTACTATGTCGTGTGTCATGTTAAGGGGGAAAAAATCCTGATGAATCTGTGAGTGCAGCAAGATCTGGAGAACCTAGAAGTTGAGGGTATGGAAGAAACTTCCTTTCCTCCTTATCCAGACCAGTGGGGTTTTCCCTGAAACTGTAAAGGAAAAGCTTTGCAGCCTTGCAGCCAAATTTCTGTTTTCCTGGGTGATTTGTGTGCTCAGATAGCCTACATGGTGATTTGTAACAGCTGAGAAGCAGTGGAAGCCATACGCTTACCAGAACATACGCATTTAAAGCTACTTTATGGTATTACACAAGTTGCATCATAACCAGAACGATCTGGGAACATGGACACAGAGGGGAGAGCGGTTGGTGTCCTGTTTGTGAAGGACAAGAGCAGGAGGCTCGGTCCAGTGGAAAGCAGACCAGGGGAAGAGGCACGTTGTGAGCACTGAGGGTGTTCCCACAGGGGTTGTTCTCTGCAAGCTGGACCATCACCGAGCACGGCATCAGCAGGCTGGCAAAGGCGGAAGGGTGGAAGAGCATCCAGGAGGGGTTTGGGGAAGAGCTGCTGCTGTGTCCATGAACAGTGTTCCTCCAGGAAATGGCACACAGACTCCTTGCAGATTTTCAGAGTGCATGAGGAATTGCAGGACCACAGACTTGCAAGAAGAGAAGAGAATAAATATAAAAATGTGGGCAAAGGCTCATTTCAGAGATGGAACATGAGTTCCACCACGCAGTTGCATTACACAAGGTGTGTTTGCAGACAAAACGGGGAAGATAAGAGAAGGAAGATGGTCTGCAGTCAGAGTTGTGAGTGGAAACAGAAGCCAGCGTTGTTGGGGGGAGAGGATTATTTCTCCGCAAGGGAAGCACTTCTGTGGAGATTTCAGGTGAAGAGACCCAACAAGCAGCTGTGCGTGTGGGAGGAGGCAGGGCAAGATGGTCTGTGCTGAGTGACGGACAGCCGAGTGTCCTGGGGATACCACCAGTGAGGCTGAAATTTAGGAGAAAGATAAGACAGCAAATGATATGCAAATGGCAAGGTTCTTGTCACAGAGAGGGAATGGTCAGAGGCAGTGAAGGAGAGCTTAGAAACGGAGCCGCAGCTGGGAGGAAGCAGCAGGAACAGGAGTCGGCTCACGTTGGTGAAGGATTCAGTAAGACTGAGAAGATGAACTAGGTCGAGCAGCAGAGATTTCTGTGCCGTAGCCAGAGCAGACCCGAGGAGCTGCTTCCCTTTGAGGTGAGTGAAAGCAGAGGGGGAATTTGGAGATGGAAGGGAAAGGAACGGGGGAGAGGGCAGGAGGCTCAAGGGAGGTGCTAGAGCAGAACCAGTTGGAGGTTGGTTGTGTTTGATTCAAGGTTAGAGCCGGCTGGCTGTCCCACTCCCTCTTTTGGGGGTTCTTGGAGCCTGCTCTCGGATCACTGTTACTCGAAGTCACAAAGGGATCGAATATTGGCCTCGCTTGTAAACCTTTCCCTGCACATCGCGTCCTTTCGGCAGGTGCAGCTCCCCAGCTCAGGCTCTTTCCCAGGTATTTCCTTAAATTCTTGTCTTTAGGGCTGTGGCTTTGGCTGCGGCTAATCCAGGCTTCGTGTGTGCCTGGTGTGGGGAGCTCCTTCCCGGTGTCGGGGTCTTTCTGGAGGAGCTGCTTGAGCCTTTAGACTCTGCATGCAACTGGAGTCTTTCTAAAGTGCTTATCTTAAGCTGAGGAAATTGCCTTTTTTTACCAATTTTAAAGTCTCCTGCCTCAAATAGTAGCTGAACTGGTCATGGGCAATGCCCTAACAGCCTCGTGGAGGGAAGGCAGGGATTGCCAGCATGGAGCAGAGGGGAAGGCGTGAGGCTGGGGTGGTTCTGGGGCGTGAGCAGTGGTATGTTAACTAGAGGCTAGTCCCTCATCTCTTGCCTCGATCCTCTCTAACACGGAGGTGTTGGGTCAGAGAGGGCTTTATCAGCACACATGGAGACTGTGCCGTGGTTCTGGGTGCTCCAGTTGGAAGCACTGCCGGTTTAACTGGGAGCAGAACCATGGTCCTTAGTGAAAACAATGCTTGAGAGGGAAGACATTTAGCCAGGAGAAAAGGGAGAAGGGCAAGAACCTGGGTTTGCAGAGGGAAGAAACTGTGCCTAATATTTTCAGCTGGGAGGATGGAGAGAGAAGAGGTTTCTTGCAGTTGTGGAGGCTCTGGTTAGAGCACCGACATGTGCCCTCAGTGTGTATGAGGAACTCTGCCCAAGGCTTGGTTCCTCTGGCTGCTCTGGCAGCTGGCGGCTCCGTGGAGTGATGCAGCCTCACGTTGTCTGGTTCTCGTTGCAGGAGCAAGTCCCACTCGGAAATCAGCTTGGAGGGGTTCTATGAGACAAAGCCACTTTCTCCTGTGCAGAAAGACCCCGTGGAGCTGCTCCTCCTGGATACAAAGGAACGTCTGTCTGTGGAGCTGCAGGACCGTCGCGCCCCTCTCGCCACCATGGAGAGCCTCTCGGACAATGAATCCATCTACAGCTTTGACTCAAGGCGCTCCTCTGGTTTCCGGAGCATCCGGGGCTCCCCCAGCCTCCATGCTGTCATGGAGAAGGACGAGACGCACTGCTTTTATATAGACCCCGTTATCCCCGAGGAGAACCCCTCCCTCAGCTCGCGGACAGAGCTGCTGGCTGCCGATAGCCTCTCCAAGCACTCCCAGGAGACTCAAGCCCCCGACAATGTGCTCAACAGCGGTGGCACTACCCCCCAGCGACGCTGCAGCGAGGAGGGGGCCAGCAGCGAGGGGGACCGCGTCTCCTTACCCCCTCGTGAGGAGTTATCCCTCCAGAATGGACGGCTCACTGATGTTCCCAGTCCCCAGGTGCTGGAGTTTGCTGAGTTCATAGACAGCCTCTTTAACCTGGACAGCAAAAGCAGCTCCTTCCAGGACATCTACTGCATGATGGTGTCAGACAGCTCTAGTGACTTTGCAGAGATGCCCAAATCTGTCAGTGATCAGGAGATCCTCTTGAGGGCACAATATGAACCCAACCTAGTCCCAAAGCCCCCGAGGTTGTTTGCAGGCTCAACCGATCCTTCGTCGGGCATCTCTGTCTCACCCTCTTTCCCCCTTAGTTCATCTGGAGAACTCATGGACATCACTCCCACAGGCGTGAGCAGCCAGGAGTGCCTGGCCACTGACAAAATCCGGACTTCCACCCCCTCTGGGCACGCAACCAGCCCTGCCAAGCAGGACGACCTCATGATTTCGGCTCTCTAGTGTAGGGTAAGGCTCCGAGAGCTGATCCCGTAGGCTGAGTGCTGGGATAACCCTTGGAGGAGGTGGTCATCGGGCAGGCTGGATCGGAGGAGACAGCTGGGAACGTTCCTTCTGGGGTGGCGCAGTGGTGGCACACTGGTGTCTGGAGGATGGACTGTGCTTGAGTGCCCTGCCTGCGGCTGGGAGGAGCAGCGCTGTCTCACGGGGTCTGCTGCACGGAGAGGGTCTGGGTCACTCAAGGTAGCTGCACCTTCCCTACCTCAGCCCGCCTCGTTTCATTTCAGAGGCAGATTCCTTGCCCCTGGGCACCTGCTGAGTTTGGGAGTGAGATATCCTGCTTCAGGGAATCCTCAGGGGTGAAGGGGGGGGTTCTCCGAAGCTGGAGGATTGGATAGAGAGGCCAGGCCAGCGCACCCCCTGGGTACCGTGTCAGTGCTTTGGGAAAGGAGCGGATTGAGACTTTGGGCCCTACTGCACTATCATGTTGGATCTGGCCCAGGATCCAATTCGTTGCACTTCCGTGGGGTTTGCTTTTTGTAGGGGACTCTCCCGTTTCAAAGCCATGGGGGGCTGTATTCTCCCCAGATGCAGTCTCCCCTCCCCTGCCAGGCGCAGCCAGCGTGGGGCTGGCACTGGGTGTTCTCTCCCCTGAGTATTTCTGTGTTCAGTGACCGCCAGGCTGCTGCTGAGAGCGAAGGACACTGTTCTGAAGAGCCAAAGCCCTCTGCCACATCCCTCCTTTCCCAGAAAGTTCTCCTGGATGTCACCACCATCGCCTCTCAGTTCCCTGGACCGCTCTGAGCTGGCGGCGTTGCTGCAGGACCGACAGGATTCTCACCTCAGAGCTGCACAGATGGATCAACGTAAAAATGTACCCGGCTTCTTAACACCCAGCGTTGTTGGCGGGGCCCCTGCGGAGCCTGGGAGGTCCCCTGGACTCCGCTGGGTCCTCACACACCCGCCCGCAGTAACCACAGACCAGCGCGAGCCTCTCGCTGGGAGTGCAGGGAAACGATGAACTTTTACTGAGTATTGAAATCACTTGTATGTTTACAGAGCTGCTGAGCTTTTTGGAAGGTATTTATTAAGCAAACGGGGAGGTTTTCCTTAAGCAAAAAGCACGTTTATTCTCTCCTGTGCTGTTCCCTCTGGGGACCGAGGGGAGAGAGGATGGGCGAGTGTGACAGCGAGTCCCCTGCTTCTGGAGTGGGTGGGGGTCTGGGGGAGGCTGCACGCATCCCTCTCCCATCCTCCCTCGTCCGCCCCAGCTGCACAGCACCACATGGCAAAGCTTGAGCAAGTCACGAGTGAAACTACCCGAGCGCTGCTGCGCAGAGCCGCGGTGCCCGGAGGAGCCCGCTGGACCTCCCTCGGCCGGCGCTTTCCAATGATGGGAGTGGGAGAGAAACTACCTACCTGGGGAGCTGAACAGACTGTGACCTGTAAATGGCCTTTAACTGACAAAACACCTTCACAGCAGAGCTCAGCAGAGTTACCCATCGGTCTCACTGGAAAAGACGTTCCTATTTTAACTTCCCACAATCACGGAGATGTGCTTGCCTTCCTTTCCCCTCCGCAGATGTGATATTTCCGTTGTGGGAGGAAGCTGTGCTTCCCCGCAGCTCGGCTGGTGCCGAATCCTGGGCTCCTGTTGTCCCTGGCCCCCGGCTGTGTTCACGGAGCCTCTGGAAGCCCCAGGCACGGGGCAGGGCTGTGCTGGCCTGGGTGCCACACGGAGCACGAGTGGCATCAAATGCCATCAAGCCCTAACGGGAGCACTTTATAGCCGGGGTGCAGTGATACAGATGATTTTGGGGGCACAGAAGTGAGCTGGGCTTTGTGGCCAAGTGCTGGTCCCCGACTCAGTGTGGGATACTGTGTCCCCTGCTCAGAGTCTTCAGGAGTGCAAGGGTTTTGTTAAAGGGCAGTAAAATATTGTCCCTGTGGTTTAGATCCCAAAGGGGACCTTTTCTGTACTGTCTTGAATGGGAGGGAAAAAGCCCCTCTGAATTCCAGGTACTTTATAAAAGAGAAGTGCTTGCCCTCTGAGCAACAAGAAGTTCCTTTTTTCTTTGTAGGTCCTCCGAAAACGAGCAGCGTTCTCCCCGTTCCTGAGAGCTGCTGTGGCTCAGGAGCTCCCGTAGCACAGGTCTGTGAGCTGTCAGGTCACCCACCCTGGCAGACCGCAGGGTGAGGCTGGGTGGCTGCACACACCCGAGGGTCCCTAAGGAGGTGGTGTCCGGGGATATGCACAGTCATCGAGCGGGGAAAGGGGAGCTGAAGCCCCGGGAGGCTGCGGCTGGCAGGCTGGCTCGCCTCCCGCTGTGGACTGCCGAGGCGTGATGGGGAGAAGGAGTTCAGGTCTACCTTTAATCGTAGTAATAACCCTTAGCACTTAGGCAGAGCTTTATATCTGCAAAGCACTTTACAAACATTAAAGAATCATCTCTGTCCCTGGCAGGGAGGTGTCTCTGAGCCTAGGTGGAACTACTGGTGTCCTGCCCGAGGGTGGTGGGGGGATGACTCCAGGTGAGGAAGGTGGATTATCTCCCTCTTAAGAAAAAAAAAATGTTTTGTGGTGACCTAATGATGTTGAATGGGTCGCACCGTTGCACTAAAGTCACTTCTGACCTGGAGGTCCCTCCGCTGTGTCCTGGAACACACAGTCACTGTGGGGCTGGTTCCTTCTCTGTGCCACTGCAGTTATGTCCCTGGGGAAGGGGGTCACCTTGCTCTGAGCAGCCCCAGCAGGAAACAGCCTGGTGTGCTGCTTGTTTCTTTTTTTTTGCTTTTGCTCTGTGATTGTGAGGCTTTTTCTGAAAAGCCTGGAAATACCTGATGCTTGTGGCCTGGGCTTGCTATAGATGGAGGCAGTGAAGGTGCCCAAGACCCCTTTTAGTTGAGGTTCTTTCTGCATCCCATTGTGAGTAATTCCTCTTTTCCCTTGTTCTCTCTTAACAGATCAGTTCCCAGTCCTCACAAAGTAAATCCACATTCTTTGCATTGTTTCTGCTTTTAAGTGTCTGTTTGTGTCTTGATTCTCATCACTCCTTTGCTGTAAGAGCGTTTGGACAGGCTGATCTCCAATTTCATCCTGGAAGAGCATATCTGGGAAGCTTAAAAAAAAGAAAAATAAATGCTAAGCCTGTAGCTACCTCCTTCCTTTGTTCTGCATCTTGTCGCCTGCTTTCTCTGCCCTCGCTCTGCTGATGCCCAGCTGTCTTTGGAAACGCATCTTCAGGTTTCTTCATCTCCTGCCTTCTGGTTCCTATTCTTGAGCTTTGTGCCTTCTCATCTTTTTATGTTCCCTTGATATTTCAGCGGGATGTTCCCCCCACGGGGAGCTGGAGGCGCGGTTCCTAGCGGGTGAGAGCCTGGACCCCAGCTGAGCAGCCAGCAGCTCACCCAGTCCAACGGCACATCCTTCAAACCTCCTCCAAGAGCTTTTTTGGTGGAGCCGAGCAGTGCCTGGAGAGCAGAGAGGGGGCTTGTGCACCTTCAAGCTGAGGGAGTGAAACCCCCCCACCAGCGCGGCTTTGCCGAGGAGCCCAGCGGGGTCTCTGCCCTGCCGCGCTCCCTGGGCGGCAGGTTTCAGCTGACTCTGTAACTGGCACTTGCTGTTGCATTCTTGCGCGCGATATTCTCAGCAGACCGCTGGAATGTAATCCCGAAGCCTCGAAGCGTTGGGGGGCAGCAGGGGAGGACCTTCGCCGGGCGCCTGTTGAGCTCGGTCCAGCAGCTGGGTTCGGAACAGCCTGACCCCAGCTCACACGGTGTCGGTCTGGCACTGCCGTCTGCTTTTTGCATCTCTGAGCTGCCCTCCAATCATTCTGGGGGTGTCCAAAGTGGAATAAAATCCTCCCATTGATAATAGCCAGGTGGGTTTTGACCGTCAAGCCCTTAGCATCTTGGCTGGCTGCGATTTTGGAGGCTCTTCTGCATCAATAATAATTGCTTTTATTGTTGCTTTGATTGTAGCAGAGCCAGGAACATAGACAGAATCCTGCTGGGCTGGATGTGTGTGAGTGCTTCTCCAGTACTTAAAAATTATTCCTTCTCTGGGGAGCCGTCCTTTCCGTTTGGAATACACGTTTTCCCCTAAAACTGCCGCTCTCTGACCTTTCCTCTTGTCCGTGCTCCTGCTCCTGTCCCCTGCCCAGGAGCTAGCTCATCTCTTTCGGCTGCTCGCTCTCAGGACGATGCTGTCTGTCTGCATCCTGGTGGCAGAGCTGTTCCCGTGGGCTCGTGATGACCTGGAACAGGGTGTGGGGTTTCTGGCTTGATGCACTCGGGAGAGGCGCTGCCCTCTGTGGCGGATGAGGCTCTCGAGAAAGGTCAAAACGCTGCAGAGTTCTCTTGCTTTTCCTCACCTGGTCTGTGCTCAGTGTTTTCCGCATTCATTCAGCATTTCTGCAACGTTAAAGGACTTTATTCAGGGTAAAGGGGAGTTGTAGGAGAAACGTTGCTCCCTGCACAGGGCTGAGATGGCAGAGCTGGTTGTGAGCGTGGATGTACAAATGCAGTGACTCCCGTCTCTGTGCTTTTAGGACGTTGTTGCTTGGATTGCAATAAGAGCTGAGGGTCCCGAGCAGGATTTAGGTGGGAATGAGGTCGCTGTCAGTGAGCGAGTGCATGTAAGATACGGGAGGAGCACCGAGCGTGGGGATACAGGATCAGTGCGTGCTCCTGGGAGCTGCTGCTGCGGGAGTCGGACTTGTTGCCGTGTCCTGTCTCCATCGAAAGAAACGGAACGGGTCTGATATCTGTGTCAGGTGCAGCAAGCTGGGCGAGCACGGCGTTACACCCCGTCCCTGGAGGGGTTCAAGGCCAGGCTGGATGAGGCTTTGAGCAACCTGGGCTGGTGGGAGGTGTCCCTGCCCATGGCAGGGGGTGGCACTGGGTGGGCTTTAAGGTCCCTCCCACCCCAAACCATCCTGGGATTTAAAATAACCCCTGGCCCTGAACAACCCTGGCAGCTTTGCTTTTTGCTTAAAAGCTCC